AGATTAATAAAGCAAATGTTGTCTCCTTTCAATATCTGATCCTAACTAAATTGTAAAAATATTGTGTTTTTTACATCTTTATGTGTTCACTGCCTATTGAAGACAAAATAAAACTTGGTAAAAGCCTACAATGCACAGCTCTGCTTACACTATTTATCTGCAGTCTTGGTACCACATAGCCTACTTATTATGTACCAGTTACATGTCTCTAATCCAAGTACAGCAATGTGCACATTATGATTTCAAAGTTTTTCTTCCTCCCCTCGCCCCGGTGTGTATGTTAGTCAGTTTCCCACCTGAGCCACCCTCTTTTGGAAATTGTCATCTGTTTGTGAGCCAAAGGCTGTATGTGCGTGTGTGTGTGTAAGGAGCCATGATTCCACTTGTCAGTTAGCCAATCCCCCATTATATTTAGGTTCGGTGGATGAATTCTGTTTAGATTTACACAGTTTAAATTGAAAACTATATGGAGAATACATTTGCTATTCACTGTCACCCACATGATGTCTTTTAGGAAATGCAATAACGATCTAATAAGTGATGAAATTCTAAAATATTACTTAGGATTTCAAAAACAAAGAGGTAAGCCCTGTAGTATGTGAAATTTTCAAAAAAATTGATTTATTTTCAGTGAACACTTTTATTTGAATACTCATATAGGCTCCTAGTTGAACTCTTTGCTACTTGTACAATTCACATTTTAACACACAAAAGAGATGTGCCAAGAAAAAGAATGCTGCTGAATACTGACTTTTTACGTACATGAGCACTTTTATTTATATATAAACTCTGTCTTAAAAATGTCCTCTTTGAGGTGAACTTGACATTATGAAGTCTTGTTTGCATATTTCTGTTTTGTCATTCCTCTACAATACCTGTTTGTTTTTATTCCTCCTTAAAAGAATCTTCTGTAAGGCTTTTCATTACTAAAGCACTAAATATAGTATTTATCATAATACAATTTTTCAGTTAAACACCAACAAAACAGATGCATATTAAACAACAAGCAAAGCAATGATAAATATTTAATACGAAACATGAGAAACAAATCAACTCATATGATCTTCTTCCACAACAAAATTAGGGCAGGTCTCTTTTTCTTGTACACACTGACCTCTATAGTTTCTTGTCATAGCTTGTAGTCTATTTGCACTTCTGCAGACTGCATATTCCAAAGAAATAAGACTCTGAGATTCTATTAGCTTGTAAATCTCTATATCTATGCCCAGTTATTGAAATAGTAATTGTTCACTTTTTCTATAGCTGAACTTCCACTGTGGTCAATGAGCCCTGGTCTACACTAAGGAGTTATAACTCCCCTTATTTCGAAATAAAAAGTAGAGTATCCACACTACGAAGACCATTATTTTTAAATAAGGGACAGGTTATTTGAAAATAATAACTCCTACTTTTCATGAGGAATAGCACTTATTTTGAAATAGTTGAAGTACAGTAGTTGCTCCACTACTGCTATTTTGAAATAATTACTCCCTGGAGTCATTCAAAGTAATTTCTTCCCAGTGCTTCCTGGGTCTCTAAATTGAGGTAGCAGATCCATGTTAAAGGAGCCTGCCTCTGACTAATTTTGAGGCTTCCCTGTAGTGTGGACATGCTATTTCAAAATAATTATTTCAGGAGTTATTTCAAAATAAGTTATTTTAAAATAATTTCCTAGTGTAGACATGCCCTAAGAGTTCTATATGAAGAAAAAACAAGATTCTCCACCATAAACCCATAATCAGAAATTAAAATATTTCCCATAACTTTTTATACAAAAGTAGATTTTTGGATCTGAACTGTCTTAGGCCTGATTTACACTAGGACCTTAATTCAAAATTAGTCCCCTATGGTCGATTTTCTAAGTGATGCGTCCACACTGCCAAGACCATTATTCCATAATAAGGACCTGCCAAATTCAAACTCTGTAGTCCTGATTTTCATGAGAAGTAACATTATTCCCATACTTTTAAGTTCAAAATAACGTTATTTTAGATGCTCCGTGCCACAAATTTGAACTAATTGGCCTCTGGGAGGCCTCCTGCAGCTCCCCAGAGTGCTTCTTGGGGCTCTGAGTCTGAGGGAGGCTCTGTTAATGTGGATACACTATCTCAGACTACATTCAATTCTTCCCCAGAGTGAGGACACGGAACTTCGAATTAGTAAAATCGGGTGCCCAGAAGTGGAACTTAGAAAATTTGAAATAATCACCTAGTGTAGACATGGCCTTAATGACTCGATCCAGTTTTTGTGTACATGCAGCCTGGTTGAAAGGAGAAAGAGCAGGTGGCTTGCCTATGGTCATGCTTTATAGAAGAGATCCAAATTGTTTTTATTTTTTTGCTTTATTTACCTTTTCCCAGAAAAGGTGAAATGACACCCCAAAGATCTGCTTATTGTGTAATTCTGTGGCAGGCAGCAAGTATAACTGAGCAAGCAAATAAACCCTTAATATTGCAAAATAATCAGTTCAATACTAAATCTATAAAATTATGTCTGAAACTTTCTACTTCCATTTTATATTTCCTTACTTCATATACTCTCCCCGTATTTTGTTGCTTTCACTGCCTTTAAAATGTTACTAGCTAAATGCTGTAGTTTGTTCAGGGTGTGTCTACATGGCATGGCAATATAAACTTCAGTGGGGGGGAGGTTATATATAAAGCATGCTAACATGTTGTGCACTAATAGGTCCATGTAGATTCTATTGGTGTTAAAAGGCATGAGGTAGCTTTCAGTGCATACCACTAGCAGGGTCTACAACATGTTACTGCATTTGAAAAATCATATCCCCGCACAAATCACAGCACAAAGCTGTGGAGTTTAGATATATCCTTAGAACAAGCAGAATATAGCTAAGTATGGGTATGTCTACACTACAATGTTAGTACGAACTAACGGACGTTAGTTCGAACTAACATTCATAGGCGCTACACTAGCGCTCCGCTAGTTCGAATTTAAATCGAACTAGCGGAGCGCTTAGTTCGAACTAGGAAAACCTCATTTTACGAGGATTAAGCCTAGTTCGAACTTACTAGTTCGAATTAAGGGGTGTGTAGCCCCTTAATTCGAATTAGTGGGAGGCTAGCCCTCCCCAGGTTTCCCTGGTGGCCACTCTGGCCAACACCAGGGAAACTCTATTGCCCCCCTCCCAGCCCTGGCCCCCTTAAAGGGGCACGGGCTGGCTACAGTGCCCGTGCCAGGTGCAAGCCTGCCAGCACCCA